TCTTCCAACCATCTCCAATACCGGATAGCATTGCACGTCGTGGTAATCGGTATTCAGGCATACGTAACACGTGGCCCAACCATCTCAGTCGATGAAGATTCATAACCTCATCAACTGATTTACCATCATTCCCTAATACCCTGCGTCTAACCTCACTATTACTTACCCGGTGATCCCAGCAGACACCAGCAATACTTCTAAGGCATCTGTGGTCAAATACTAATAGCTTACAAGTGTCTTCTACTCTTAAGGGCCATGTTTCGCTGCCGTAAAGTAAAACAGAACGGACTGCCGCGCAGTATACTCGTCCTTTTATTGATAGACGGATATCTCGCCTTCGCCATAGGTGGCGCAAGTTGGCAAAAGCCAATCGAGCTTTTCGAATCCGTGCTGAGATTTCGTCCGATACCAACCCATTAGGGCTGATCAGACTTCCAAGATAAGTGAAGTTGTCAACGCGTTCGACTACTTCACTCCCTATCCTTAGTTCAGGTGTTAACGCAGACCAGTCCTGAAGCAACAACTTGCATTTAGAGGGAGAGAAGCGCATTCCAAACATTCTGGCATTGTTGCTCAGTGCTACCAGAAGACTCTGCATTTTGTCAGCGTCTTCACCAAACAGGACTATGTCATCTGCGTATTCTAAGTCGATAAGTGGACATCCTGGATGGAGATCAATACCCGAGAACTCAGTCGACGAGAAAGTTATTTCCATCAGTAGATCTATGATGAAGTTAAACAAAAATGGGGAAAGTGGACAGCCTTGACGGACACCACTTGAGGTTGCAAAAGTAGATGACAGTTCGCCATAAGCTCTGACTCGACTAGAAGTGTTCGAGTAAAGAGCCCTCACAAGGTTTATGTACTTCTGGGGTACGCCTTTCAATGACAGACACTGCCACAGAATCTCGCGGTCTACAGAGTCAAATGCTGCTTTTAAGTCGAGAAAGACCACCATTGTCGGACGCCGATAAGTATGCCTGTGTTCTAGAATCTGACGAATGATGAATATGTGGTCGGTGCAGCCACGACCAGGTCTAAAGCCAGCTTGGTTCTCTCGTGTTTGTAGTTCACGAGTCTTAGTTAGGCGTTTGATAATTATCGAGGCCAATATTTTAGATACTATGTTTGTTAAACTAATACCTCTGTGGTTGTCACAGGATGATTTTGACCCTTTCTTATATATTGGGACGATAAGTGATTGTGACCAGTCAGATGGAATAACGTCTAACTCCCAGATCTTAGCTAAAATATTAGTCAACCTAATCGCTAAAATTGGACCACCATCCTTAAAGACCTCTGGAGCCAGTCCATCTGGACCAGCTGCCCTTCCTCGTTTCAGATTAACTATAGCCTTTTGAACTTCAGCAAGAGTTGGGGGACCTACTTCAATGTTCCATTCACACTGTCTGGGAATGGAGGGTAGTTGTAGAGTAGCTGAAGGCCAGCTGAACTGTTCTCTGAAATGTTCCGCCCATCGTTCTAAACGCCTGGACTGGGAGCAGATGAGTGTATCGTCTTTTTCCGATATAATCTCACTTACACTTGACTTATTAATTCCAGTTTCTTTTATTAGACTGTAAAGCTGTCTTGTGTTCCCTATAGTCGCCGCCTTTTCCATCTCTTTTGCTTTCGTTGCCCACCACTGCTCACGGTCGTTTCTTAGACTTTTTCTTAACCTAGATCTGATTTGTTTTCGCTCTTCATCATGTTCAGAACCTGATGGGACGAGTTTGCGAGAATCCATCAGTGTGATAGACCTTGAAGAAATCCATCAATTCTTTGTAACCCTGTGGTTTAAATCATCGATAGATGTCACTGCTGTTTCCACAGATGTTTGTATGGCTTTCCAAGCAACAACTGGGTCAACCTCGTTTTCAAAACTACCTAGTCGTGACCTCAGTTGTTCCTGGAACCTACTTTTGGTTTCCTCGCTATTCAGTTCGGTTCTAATGGGTCTTTTTACTGTGACATTTTTGCGTCCAGTGAGGCGCAAGCAGATGCGTGCCCGTATTAGGGCGTGGTCGGAGTCCAAGCAGGTACTCCAGAATGAGCGACAATCTTCTACCGACCCTCTCCAACGATGACTGATGGCAATATGGTCTATTTGAGTCCATCGCTGGTTTGGTGTAGAGGGTCGCCATGTTAGACGATGTCTCTCCTTATGCTTAAAATTTGTGTTTGCTAAAAATAAGCGATTGTCTGAGCACAGTTGCAGCAGACGATCACCATTATCTGTTCGCTGTGCCGGAATGCTAAAATATCCACCTAAATGCCTTTCTGTTTGGTTTAAGCTACCTATCTGAGCATTAAAGTCACCCCCTACGAGTACTATGTCTGAGCGTTTAGCTTTCTGAAGAAGTTCGGACAGCTTTCTGTAAAATTCATCTTTCACATCATCTGAGCTGCAGTCAGTGGGAGCGTAGGCAGAAACGACGAAAAGGCAACGACGTGTGTCCCTATCCTTCCGAGTTCTTACGGAGCCGTTTAGCCGAACAGCACATAAACGACTGTTGACGGGGATCCACTCTAGCAGTGCTTGTTCCGCCTTCATGCTTAGTGCTATGCCTACACCTGCCAGTCCACGAGAACTGGCCATCGGGTCACCAGATACACGTAGGGTGTATCTCGTTGGCTCTCCGTTTTGCCGAGGTGAGGTCAAGTGAATGACCACACTGGAATCCTGTATGCGTGTTTCTGAGACACAGCATACATCAATGGAAAGAGACTCTAGGGTTTTAGCCAAGGAAGCCTGCTGACCGATTTGACATAGAGTGCGTACGTTGAAAGCTCCAATGTGTAGTTTGGAGCGAGGTTTCAGTAGACCTGGGACAGAGTTTTGGGCACTAGAATCGTTGGCTATGGTGACACTTGAGGAGGAAGCCGAAGGAGGAAGTTTAGGGTTGAAAGTCGATGTAGGAGGAATAATAGGAATTGAAGAGGAAGGTTGATTATGAATACAGTGGTCTTGGGTGCTGTTAGAGGTATGAGGGCGGTTATCACTTCCCGGTTGCCCACACCGTGGAAGGGATAGCAGTGGTATTAATATATTCAAATTATTTAGACGAATGAACTATATAATTTTACACTGTTGGTTACGAAAGTTTTGCGAGACTGGACTAGGTAGTCTGTGTCTGCCCACATTGTTCAGTCTACATGCCAATAACTTCATAGATTGGTGGAACATCTCAGTTTGTCCATTCTTAGATTTCCTTCAACCTAGTCATACACCAGCCAACACCATCCATCAAGGTAAACGGTGGGTGGGAATATGTAACACATTTTTCCAACCAACTCAGTTAATGAAGATTCACTATTACTTAATGTTATGCTCATCAGTCCAATGTCCTACATTGAGAGTTAATAATAGTTCTGTCTTTTTCCGAAAAACCCCAGATTTTTAATAAATCTTTCTTGATTTTCTAAACAGTTGTCTATTGTTACCTATAGCCGATACCTTTTCTATTTCTCGTGCTTTCGCTACGCACCACTGCTCACGATCATTGCATAGGCTCTTTGCCAGCTCTTGTTCTTGACTAAATGTTAAGTCAAGTGTAATTACTAACTCTTTTCTTCTAAGATATTTTTATCATAGTATTTCTTATATCAAGATTTGGATTGTAGCTGTATCTCATAGTGTGGGCGTTCTCTTTCGCTGTGATGATATGAAATACGATCACTAGGACCGACATATATAAATATATATCATGGCAGGTCATACGCTGACTGATACAGCTTTAGCTTATTTTCCTAACATTACCTAAATTATGTAGTTATTGATTGGAGAAATCTGAACGAACAATACACTCGGTGAAAGATAATCAATGTTTATAATGAAGAGTTGGAAAAAAGTATCAGAAATGAGTCAATAGTTCCCTCAATTAGTACATAACGATTCTATGTATGTATGTCTATGTACTTGAATCTGGGTGTGATGACTGATGATCATACCTACGTTCGCTAAACCGAAGTAAATGCAGTTAGGTTCGGACATGATACCCAGTAGTTGGAATTTGACGGATTTAAACGCAAAGCACAGTTAGCTCTATTTTATTATAATTATATTACTTATCTATATGGTGTGCGGATAACCATCCATTTTCCAATGTTCTATAAAGGTTTAATATCTAGCACTTTTGAACATTTTCCCCCATTCATTTAGTCCGTCAGTGAAGCATAGAAGAGCATAATTTTAAGTGAGGATTTCATTTCAGTCATCTTAAGTTATCTTCATATGTTTTTTATGAACATGACACTGTAGCTCATTCCAACTTGCTAGGTGAAAAAACAGTAAATCAATAAGGAGCTACATCTTGAAGTGAAATCCTGACTGGAAATTATTCCCTTGTATCCAACATTTAGTTACTAAATGAACGGAAAAATGACACATACTGGGCATTCAAAGGCGAATGTGCTACAAATTCACGGTCAGCTATAGGATCTTGTATTATATATATAATTAAAGAACATAAGGAACTTAGAACAACCGTCAACCGATATAAAAGTCTGAATCTTCAATACGAACGTCAAGACAGTTCTACTGTATGGAGCCGAAACTTCGAGAACTACCTCAACATCACGAGAAAGGTACAATTATTTATAAACAACTGTCTACACAAGATACTGAATGTCCGTTGGCCGGATACCAATCAGCAACAACCTACTGTGGGAGAAAACAAACCAACTTCCATCTGAAGAGGAAATTAAGGAAAAACGATGGGAGTGGTAGATAGGGCATACACTGTGGAAATCATCAGACTGCATCACGAGAAAAGCCTTAATATGGAATCCTGAAGAGAAAATTAAGAGAGGAAGATCAAGGATTACAATGCATCGGAAATTGGGAGCAGACATCAAAAGAATGAATAGTAACTGGAAATGATTGTCCAGAACAGAGTTCGGTGAAGAATCCTGGTGGGCAGCCCATGCTGCTACATGAGGGGTAATAGGTGTAAGTAAGGAAGTAATGTATATATAGTAAATCAAACATAACTACTTACTTCAAGTTTAAACGTGCCAACTCGGATTGTGAAAACGCTTTACACATAGATCGAGTAGTGTTTGTATTACACGAAATGGGATTGACAGATAATAGCTTTTGACGATTACATAATAAACTATTTCGATCTGGACTATAACGATAAGGACTATGGACAATGTTTGGAGTAGCGATAGCGGTAGTATTTGCTCGTGAATTGGCTAATATTGTTAAAATTAAACGCATATTATTACTATTATTACTGCTATTATTATTACTACTGTTAATATTACTATTAGTATTATTATGAGTGATAACAGATGCAGTAGTATGATTGCTATTATAACTACTATTTATCATATTGACAACGTTATTCGTGTTATAAAACGGTAGAGGATAAGAACAATATTGAATATTTTGTAAATTTGTTAACGAATCATTTGATTTCGGATTAGTGTAATACGATAATGTGTGATATTCCTTTTGGTTTAATGATGATGACGATGATGATGATAATAATTTACTGACTGGTGTTGATGATAAAGATGCTGCATTGAGCATTATCGACGAAGATGATGATAGCGATGGCATAGATGAAGTAGTGTTGTTATTATTACTATTAGCTAAAAGTGTTTGTTGTGACTGTTGACTAACAACAACCGTCCTATCTCTTGACTGATTATAATTTGTTATTAAATCTGTTGAATGATGATGGCGATGATGATTATTACCAGTACTGATAACACCAGTGAACTCATTATTTATCGTATTTACATATTGTTGATGTAGAACTGCATATTCATCTGTGTTGAACGACTGTGGGTTGGGTGAAAATGAAGAAATTGGTAAAGATAATCTGTTATTATTGAATGGTGTTGTTAAATAACCACCTTGACCAGTTGCCGTTGATACCCATAGATTATTCGAATTCCAATATCCAGGATACCATGCACTGTTAGTTGGATCGTAAACACCATCCATAGGAAGTGTTGTATACCCATTCAACTGATTATTTAACGGTGTACTGTTACTACTTGCATAAGATGAAGCATTGCAATAATCGAACTGGTTGATTAGAGATGGATCATTTGTTTTAGACGATACATTACTATTATTCATGGTAGTAGTAGTAGTAGTAGGAGAAGTAGCAATAGCGATAGACCGAGGCATAGGCATAATTAAACTAGGCGGATGAACAATTGTATTAGGATTTTCCGATAAGGATACCTTCGAAATTAAATTAAATTGTTAAAAATAACAAAATTTTCATATAAATTTTAAAAATATTTCAAACTATTAAAAATTGGATAAACGTAAATAGACAGTCATTGCGAAGTCAATTTAATGAATATTGTGTTAATATATTCACTCAATTCGACTGGATTATTTAAAGTTTAATTTAAATCATTATTTGATAACATTGTACAGAATTGTACATCATGACGTGATTTTTGTCCATTTTTAGGGAGATAGTAAATTAATAGACAACTCGTAGAAGATATTCGTAAGTTACTAGTATCTGTTTATAAGTAATTTCGAAGAATAGCTCGAGTATGTTGAGATCACTGGAGCAGCGCTGAGGTTAAAGATAGAATACTAAGGTGAAAATGGAAAATTGATTGAAAATACAGTGAATGTCCATTGAATAAGATGGTTAAGAAATGTTCATTGAACCACCATCCACCTCAAATATTGTCTACTGATATTACTTCTAATATTGTCACTGTTTCTACTACTCTGGAGTTTGTTTTGATAGTTTCATCAAGCTGTATTAATGTGGTGTAACAACTTGAACCGATGCACATATGTGGTAGGTTCTAGGCAAGAATGACTGGCTTAGTAAACGACCAGAGTAAAACAGGGGGTAGATTAAATGTTTAAATCTAGTTCAATTGACAGAAGTTTTAAAGCCCAAAACCATTAAACCATTGCTTTAAGCTGATTATAACCATATCCAGTTGACCATTCTGCTTGTGTTATATAATAAAACATATTTAATTAGATAAAGATCGTAAGTCGTACAAATAAGCATTTATCCAACTCTATTGTTTTAAGAAACAAATCCAACGATCATTTCAATCTCGATATGAAGTAGTTATAATTTGATGAATTAAGTACTAAACTTTCAATCACCCAGTCTCAGATTCTAGCTATTCTCCATCTGATTCAGTTAAGGGAACCTGAAACACTGTCGCTAACGCCCAAATAAAACGTGTAGCCTAAAAATGAGTGCCCGAATCTGCTCAGATTGTTGGGCATCGGTAGTTTAATAATGATGGTCAAAAGTAAACGGGTCTTGGCTGGAATTTCGAAATTTATTTCTATCTTTGATTAGTCATAAGTTATGTGGTAGACAACTCAGTAATGCTACCTTGGTTAGATATCATGGTACATACATTAAATCTCAAATTTCACAATATATTCGGTCTGTTGTCTAGTAGTTTAGTCTTTCGAAATAGTGTCGGCTCACCTATGAATCATGGTAATTTATATGCGTTGCTTACAGCTAAGCGTGATTCTAGTGTAGAATTATCGACGTGTAGTATTTTGGTTTAGCCAAATCCTGAAAGAATAGCATATGTTTACTCTATTACATCCTAGAAAGTGATATGAATTCTAGTCGTCTTAGTAAGAGATTTACCTAATACATATTAAAGCCAGAATAACACTGATTGGTCTACTTTCAATCAATCAGTGCTAGTGGGAAGATCGGGATGGTAGAAAATTTGTTATTGAAGGATGCTATCGGAATACATTCACAACACTTTTGTTTCACACAAACATCCTATTTTTGGTATTACTAAAAACAATATTCGAACCTGAGACTTCAGTACCGATTCATTACAAATGTTCCCACTTCAAGAGCATGCTGACTAATATCACGAGCTAAACACCGACCATAATGTGAGCTGACTTTTTCATCGTTATTTTCTCTGTAGCCACATCTTCTACTTACGATATATGAAAGTATGTATGATTTCGTGTTCGGATGTGGATTGATAAACACACTAGATATTTCACCACTATATCAATGAAACGTTTCTGTCCTAGTTCTGACGTGAAGTCGCTATTTTGATGGAGAATATTCAATTAGGGTAGTATTATTGAGTTGTTTAGTAGCTAAAAACGTGTTTAATCAAGGCTATGAATAAAGGCAACAAAGTAACCAGTATTTCTTTATGCCCATCATACCATTATTCAATCAAGTTGAATTGAAGTAAAACCACAAACGCAACGCATAAGACCTCACATTGAAACCAAGAATTTGAATCTGAATTTCCACTTTATTTTAAAATACTACAACGAACGTGATTATACCATCTCTTTTTGAATGTATCGGAGAGTTGTTATTTTTAATTATTAAACAACTAATGTACCTAACACTAAAAACGGATCACAGTGTTTCAAATTCAGCTGAGTCAACCTGTTAAACCCGAACACACTGAAAAATACTTTTGCGAATATGATGTTATTCAATACACTTACTGAAGCAAAAGTATTTGGGTTTGTAGAATAATTTGCCTCAGCTTGATGTGCTTGATTTGGCAAAGACCCATGTATAGGATCTGGTCCCGATTGTACCATCATACATGTATTTGGAGACGAATGGTCCAGAGTCAACTTAGACATAGCTAATTGAGTTTGATAATATTGTTTCTGGTATTCAGGATCCTGGTTGTACCAAAAATAATATGGTATTTGAGAAGCTGATGGACAACACAGTGCTGAAGTTGAGTAGTTATTCAACATAGTTGGGGACAATACTAAAGGTGGTTGTAGAGCTGTTCCATTGTTTGGGAAATTATAAGATTGAGCGAAAAGATTGTAAGAAAGACATTGTGGACATTGAGGCAAGCAACAAGATACACGATGTAAATAGGACTGTAAATGACTGGTCGGTGTGCATAAGTCTGGACTGTTTAAATTATATTCTGGGCTTGTATAAATTGAGGGGACACAATTCATAGTATCAGAATTAGGAAGCGTCCGTGGATTAGACTCTGGCTGACGTAGGAAACTATACGGATCTGAATAACGGTACTGTGAATGTTGCGGTTGAAGCTGGCTTGTTACAGGATTCATGTCTGAACAAGATGGAACTGACTGAGATATTGGTGGATGATTAGTTCTTTCGAATGAACTTTTATAATTATTGGTGGAATGTGTAGATGCTAGAAAATAACAAAGATTGAAACAGCATTAACAAATATACACGAAAGGACATTTATGAACATCGACTTAATATTCATTTATATTAGTTGTTTTTGAATCTTTCCACTGATAATTAAGACTGCAATCGGTCACTCATCCTGTTATGTAAGTAAGTAGCGAAGTGGATAGCGCGATGGCGTTTCAGGTGGACGGTGCTTTGTTTGAGTCCGGAAGCGAATATCAACTCTGGGATGCAAGCACATCCAGATGACCAGTCTCTAATGGGGCGAAACGTATATCCTGGATTTTCCTGCTACCTACTATCCATCTTTTTTTATAACTGACTTAATATACATGATTCTACCAGCCCAATAGGAACTGATATTTCACCGTGGAAAGACAAGAGTTAGTTCGTAATTGTGAACATTATTACTTTTCTCTATTTTGGAGGATCATGTTATAGAACTTCACAAGACGATTAAATAACTTACAAATATTCGAAGTAAACTTGTCGAACCAAAACAAATATCAAACCAAAGGGATTTCGACCACCCCTACCTTGATGTACTTGTGTGTTTGGTAAAAGCTATCAATTAGAATTGTTAAAGATAACAATAAGATCCTCTATAAAAAAATCATAAGGCCAATAGGATTGTATTTACTGCTGAGTAGGACTCTGTAAAACAAAACGTCAATTACGCAGGTTTCGAATTAGTTTGTCATTGTAGTATCAACTATTAAATAAACTCGCCGGCAGCTAACATGGTCTTGTTCATACCAAAGCCACTAGTTCGACGAATACAGTGTCATTACCAAACTAATAACCCACCAATAAACTTTTAAAAAGTTATGAAGCTACCGTTGCTACATTGTGAAAAGAACTCACAGGTTTTTTTGTTTCCATAAGAATCAGATGAATTTTGAGACTGTTTATTGTGTGAGACTTCACAACCCGAAGAAGCGTGCATTTCTGTCGCATAAGAAGCCATAACAGTAAGCCAACTTACATTTGATTACAGAAATATTTGATGGCTTCAGAATTCAATCAAAACATAGAGCAAAAAGTAATAAAATGGCAACAAAGCTGCAAAATGCATGCAATTAAATAAATAAATAAATTATCACAAAAATCTGGACATGTGTATGGGAATGATGGCCAAGTATTTTTGGGGTATTTTACTTATTGTAATGACTTGAGTGGGTTACAAGTATCACGTAAAAAATAAAGCAACTAGAAGGAATCATCTGGTAAAGTTGTTAACTATGACGTTTTATGCATGGAGAATCGAAGAAATCTTGACTAGGTTGTTAGGGTACACTATGTGACAGGAAAACGCAATTAAGAGTACAAAAGCTGACTCATTTGGATTGTGATTAAAAAAATAATTATATGGATATAGTTATTGATGGAAAATTCATTGAAATGTAGCCATTAATTTTATCTACTGAAACTCAGAAACCAAGGCCAGTCTGGTATTTTGATTTAAACATTTTGAGTTGGTAGTACTACGCAGTTATTAAGGTAGAGTAAAATTCAAGCCCGCAAACTAACGATTTAACATGGTGAAATTTAACTGCTGACCTATCACAGCACGCAACAATGTTTTTGCCACAATTTCAACTACGTTTATAAGATTTTGTACAAGATTTAGGAGCCTTAAATAATCTGTAAAATGTAGAAACATAGAAACTCAATGTAAAAGAATATGGTGGAATCGCTAGTCGACTAGTTTTGTATTTTATACTCACAGCTTCTCAGTCTACCTTATTTATGTGTATTACAACTTACAATTAGGTTATTCTAGCCACTATGTTGTCTGAACACTTCAACCTCAGCCTAACAGACTATGATTAAAAAAGACAGAAACTTATACAAAGTGAGAAGTTATGTTATGATTACGAGTAGTGTAAAGAGGTGGGAACCGTTAGCTAAGGCATCAGTGATAACCCTGAAACACAAACACCTACTAATCTATTTTAAACTAAACAATATGTGAACGAAAACAACTGGTCGGTAATGTATTATATCGACATTTGAGAGTTCGTCGTACCTGTAAAAATGGGCTGATGTGTATTTGTACCAAACTATACGTTGCGACTGAGTGTTGTAAATACTGTATCGAATAATTACAAGCTTTTATCTAACCGATAGCGTATATGCCCTTTACCGACTCATATTCGTTTTACTAACCACGCTCATACTTCACGACCAGTTACTTCGAAGTAAATTAAGTGCCTCCAAATGCCCTAGTATGGCTGAGAGTGTGGCGGTCCGCGATTCCTCTCGAAATACTCTCACACGACCACGCATATACAGCTTCTGCCAGAGAAGTCCTACTCACTGCCTTCTCGCACATTGGGTATTGTTTACGAAAATGAGAGGTTGAAAAGCGAATGTCCGACACTTTAACCGGATCCCAAATCAATGTTACACATAGGCTCCAGTATCCTGAATAAACAAATGGCGTATGAACCAATTGTTGGTCACCGGCTACCATGGGACTGCATCATTTGACGATGCTCCACTGCCTTGTGGATCAGACCTTCAGGTCGAAGGCCCCCTTAGAAATCCACCTGCTTCGGTTTGGGCAACCGGGCAGTATCTCAGCCCTCACACATATCGGATGAGATTTGTGTGGCGCATATGTATTTGGTTCCTCCTTGGACCAATATCTATGTTAAAATAATAAATAATAATAAAGTACAAGGATAATTCTGCATAGACCGAGACAGCTTCCAAACAAAGCTACGGTTGGCTCTATGTTCTATAACATATAATTAACTCAAAACTCTCGCTATCAACAGTCATATACTGCCGTCCTATAAGAGATGCAAAGTATATTTGAAGTGATGACTTCCTCACAAATACCATCTAGGAAGTCACTGTGAGGAGTGAACTATGAATGAATAAAGTCACGCGATGAGCGTAATTATCTGAAAGAACATTAAGAATGTTGAAAATAAATATGACACTAACAAAGGAATAATATATAAGTATATTAAGCGTTGCGTAATACTATAAATATTTCTAGCAAACATAACGCAGCTAATGACATCTTGGTACTATAGTAGTAACATAAAAATAAAGAGTTAATTGACCACCAACTACATCAATAACTTCAGCGTCTCAAAAGGAAACTATACGAACATTCTCAATCACAAATATGCCAGCAACGTTGCTTTTCAAACACCCCACATACTTTAGTTTCGTGCTTTTGACCTTGAGAAACATAACACTCAAGTGGATAAACGAAAAGACTTGCCTTTCAAATTATTCATTTCATCATTACACATATGTGTTTTGCAGTGATCTTGTGAGCGGTGATCGATGTGTCATGCAGTGAGAGCTCAAAACTGGGACGGAAGGACAACGGCAAAATTTTACTTAAGCAACGATTTTATAGGCAATAATGGTAATTGTACAAATTAGTTGTAAGAAAAAATTTGAATGAAGACAAAAACTGTTTACGAACTGAAACCAATTGATTCAAAGCATTAATCATTTTGTCGAACTGTGCTCTCTTATGTGTTAAGAATAAGGTTAACTGACAATGATCTATTAGTAGCTTCCTAAGTACGTTGAACGAAGGGTGAAAAAGTTTGTCAGGATATACAACTTTCTTTCATGAAGTATAGGCTTATTTACCGATAACGCAAATAAAACTACTTGAGATGTTATCTTCCTTGAGAATACGTGACTATCATAAGCATCAGAACACTCCATAAAATATCCCAGTTTCCACAGTGACGCGTTTACAAAATATTTCTTTGTGTCCGTTTGTACTGTGACGCCAGATGTGAATACAAAATAAGCTAACGAAATACTAATGTCTCTAATGCGTCTAGAACTTTGACAAGAAACAGTCCAGAACACAAAATCGGAGTACTGTAAGGCCAGCGAAATGTCACTGGGCCCTAGCTAAATCATCCGGAAGTTAATTTATTGAATATTGAACAGTCACTGATCCTCGCCAAGTTCAAGGACAATCAACGCGTATCAATAAATCGCATGCCGTGAACTGGCTCTTGCAGTGGTAATCTCAATCTCTTCATCCTATCTACTTTCAATAATATATTTGTCATAACGTGCTTTGTGTTATATGATCCATAGCACCTTGATACGACGAAACGGTAATCCACGTGAGATGCTGGCCGCGTGGTGTGACTTAGAAGTTAGCTTTCCTTCAAACTCGAATGGGCCCCCATCACCCGACACAGATCATCTACGTTGGTGACATACAGTACGCGATATGAAGTTGTATTGTATTATTATGATTGGTTTAAACACAGCACAAAATATTTAATTGTGTAGTTAGCCGCCATCATCGCGGCTTTAAAAGAAAATAGGGATATGGTCATTCACTCTAATTTGTGACCCGTATTTGTTTGTGATTTTTAACATCATTCTAACACTCAACAATGATTTACTGTCACTAGTTTTGATTTCGTCATTTTCTTCGAAATATGAGTGACCGGTTTAACCGTCTATGTGCTTTGAGAGAGCATCCGAATTTACATGGTTTACAGGTTCTTGTATTGGTCATACGTCTTATTCTCAAGACACTGAAAGTATTACATCACATCAAATTGACAACTGTGTGGGAGATAGTGTAACGTCATGTGCTATGTTAAACCCACTTAGTGTAGATCACTAGCGTAGATGATCTATGTCGAATGATCGGAAGCCTATTCGAGTCAGACGGCATTGGTGTGAATGACCAGCTGACGTCGAAGTCACACTTCGTGGTCGGCACCTTACGTGGACTACTCGATTGACGTATCAAGAGAGTACAGATGCTTTGAAGCCTGGACAACACAAATGATGTTATTACAGAAATATATTCTTTAAAATTGGTACAAGCGAAAGCCAGACCACCGCCTCATGGGCCAGTCCATGGCATGCGATTAACTGATATGCGTTGGTCGTCCTTGATCTTGACAGGGATTGATCAGCTCAATATTCAGTGGTCCAACTGCCGGATGATTTGTTTAGGGCTTAGTAACATTTACTAGCCCTGCAATAGTTTATTCTGGCTTTCAGCAAACCAATCTGTTCATTCTCTTTAAGCTGCATTTTGACCTCGTCACTCATTTGCTTTTTTATTTTGAATTTTTAGATGAGCGCATGTGTGTGCATTTTCTCAATTACTCACCACATGTTGGTTAAATGGAGTTGGCTCATTCGCCTTCTCCTCCTCTCTTTATTTCACTTCTCTCTTTTCTACGCCATATTTGCTCCGTTTCCTTGATTGTCTGTGCTAATCTACGATAGTACAAAGTATATATATCCAAACTGCCTTCTCGTATTCCACTTCTTTAAATCCGTTATTCACTAGCGCGATTTAAGTCGATGATGATTGCTAGGATGTGTATTTTGACATCAATCATTCGATAACAAGCAACAAACGATCTATCTGAAGTCATATACGGGACCGCCGAAACTTGCGGTTTACAACAAGTAAGTTCTAATTAAACTAATATTTTGGCCGTGCATTCTAATAACAATTATTACCACGCAAAACCCAAAAAAGTATGGAGTTTGGTAAATAGTAATTTGGAAAATCTTGCACATTAAATGCGTTGTTCATATTTTAGGTCCTTCTGAGATAAACGAATGCAAGGTGAGTTTTTTATGGTTGGATTTTCACCGCTTAGAGTGATTATTTCGGAAATTGAAAAAACTTTAACATTCAGTTTATTTATATTCCCGTTATCATGGTTTCTATGTCTAACATCCACTTTCAGTTCAGTCTAATGTGGTAGCATTATGTCAACCTGTCAGATTTGATCTGCTGGTTGAGAGAAATGTTTATATCTATTGCTACGATGCACAATTAAATTTCAGGTAAGGTTCTCAGCATATTTATTATTTTCTTATTTGTGTAAGAGTTTTCGAGTGAATATATAAATTAAAACGAATGAGGTAATCTTAATGGTGCACGATAAATCCCGGTTTAAAGAAAACCTGCTTGAAAATTCATGAATATAACTTTCAAGACGGCATCTAAGACGCACGATGAAGCTTCTAGAGGCTATAAAGGAAACTGAAGAGTTTCTTTTTGAATATTAACGCTGCACGTTACGCTTGGAAAGTAGCTTAATGTGTTTTCTTACCGATTTGCTGAATTATAGTAACGGTATATCTAACACTAATATCTAAAACTACCCATGATTTTCTGTACACTTTTAGTTCCTACCGAACAATCAGTTTTCCTGCTTATTTTGTCTTCTGATCTGAGACTGCAGGAGTTTACATACATTCGAGTACCATTGATTATATATCGTATTATGCGTTAATCAGGTAGAGTACGTAACAAATACATATGTCATTTTTGTGTCTGCATTCAAAATTTTGGTTCTAACATTTGTCTCTCTAATCACCAAACATCGTAATATTATGAGTGTAATGTCAAGTTTACTGGAATAGTGTCCATGTCGCAACTAGATGAATTAGAATTAATCAGTCTTAAGAGCAAGACAACAGGATTGATAAGTTTATTAGGTTTTCTGCCAAAGGTTATTAAGATAATTTTCCGAAAACAAGATTTAACAATATATACATTCACATCCTACATTCTATTTGATAAAAAAGTAGCTCATTCAAAATTGTTTCATGCGTACTTAGTACTGTTTGTGATGTGAATTCATTAGGTGAAAGTGAAATGTTTTCTACTTCTTAGATTTCAACTCGAATCCACGCAAAATTATTTGAAACGAAGTCACTATTGAGTTGACCAACGTTTGTGTTCTTTTGCAAAGTCGGGCTCAGTGATTTGCCTCCAAATGCCCTGGTATGGCTGAGAGTGTGGCGGTCCGCGATTCCTCTCGAAATACTCTCACACGACCACGCATATACAGCTTCTGCCAGAGAAGTCCTACTCACTGCCTTCTCGCACATTGGGTATTGTTTACGAAAATGAGAGGTTGAAAAGCGAATGTCCGACACTTTAACCGGATCCCAAATCAATGTTACACATAGGCTCCAGTATCCTGAATAAACAAATGGCGTATGAACCAATTGTTGGTCACCGGCTACCATGGGACTGCATCATTTGACGATGCTCCACTGCCTTGTGGATCAGACCTTCAGGTCGAAGGCCCCCTTAGAAATCCACCTGCTTCGGTTTGGGCAACCGGGCAGTATCTCAGCCCGCACACAAAAGCATGATAAACTGTCTACTTATGAAAAATATCCCTCTCGCTCCAAATGACATCTTCGTCTATTCTTGCTGGCATCGGTGTCCCACTAAGCGCTAGAGCTGAGGCAGCACTAGTCGACTGGATCCCCATTAACAGTCGGTTATGTGCTGTTAGATTAGAGAGTTCCATCGAAGTGAGGAGAAATCGGCGCGAGAAACGATGTCTTTTCGTAATCTTCACCTATGCTCCGACAGATTGCAGCCCGGATGCAATCAAGGATGAGTTTTACCATCAGTTATCTGTTCTTCTCCAGAAAGTGCGTTCGACAGATACTGTAGTACTAGCCGGAGACTTGAATGCTCAGGTCGGGTGTCTAGGCACAGAAGAGAGTCGTTTAGGTGGCCGGCGAGGACTTTCTGACTAAGGAACTGACGACGTTGTTTACAAAAGTCTGGGAGCTAGAAAGTGTACCAACGTTATGAAATGAGCCGATAGTTGTCCCTATCTTTAAAAAGGGTCAACGTCGTTCCTGTAACAACTATCGGGGGATACGTCTACTTCCGATTGCGTCCAAGCTATATTCTTCCGTCATACTTCGTAGGTTGTTCAAAACACGAGAAAGATTGCTGACGTCTAGTGGCAACACCATGTTAGTAATGCAGAGGTTCGGCATCGTGTGTTCGCGCACAGAGATGATAATGCAATCTGTGTCACCATTGTGAGATCCAAACTAAGGTTTGGACTGATGAACAGCTGACTAGGTCGGTTAGATACGCGCCCTTGCCCGTTTGAAACCAAAACAAAGTAATTGGGTAGAATGACGGTTCTAAAATCCATCATAAATTTAAATGTACATTATTACCTGGACAAATATGACCACTCAGCTATCAAACCACTAATTGTTCAATTGATCAAATCTAAATTACAATAAATAAGGAAGTTGAAAAAGGATGCAAGAAAATTACCAATCACAACAAACAGATTTCATTCTATCCTGTCTGGATAGACCACGTACAGATTCGTTCAAAAGATAATATTTGGTTGCTTTATAACACAGAGTGTTTCCAATTTTGGAAGAGTGCCTCAATTCACAACCAAAAATGCAAAATTCCAGTCAAAACAAGTAACAAAACCAAAAGGAGGAACAAACCAATATGGCTGCCGCCAAGACTAAGTAACAAGTAAAACAACGTAAAGGCAGTTCAGGAAGAAACACTGAAACTAAGTGAAGGCGTAAGAAGAATAAAAACTATACTAAAATACAAATATTACCAACTCAAATGGAATCAAAAAGACTAACAAAATGTACAACTAAAGGGATTAATAAGAACAAACTGCAAGTGTATACATGGAGGGATTTTCACACACAAACAACATTCAAAATAAATCTTACATGTTGAAGCTCTAGCTTATTGGTCTTAGGGTCACATGTGTATACTGATGAATAGCTTTGTTCATATATTTTTATTCGGTTTAGCCATCTAAAGCTTTCTAGTTATCTTTTTGTTTTCTCCCATCATTACTAAATGAGCTCATATATTTGAGGCATTTATATCAATAGCGGTTCTTATTTATCTGTTTGTATTGTAGTGAAAATAATAGGACAACAATGATTGCAGCAATTATATTGTGACACTATGACACATTTTTTTCAACATATGTGACACATGTAGCTCGTTCGAAATGACTCCATAAAATCCCTGAGAAGCCAAATACCAGAAGGCAATTAATGGACCAAGTCGAGGTTTATTTGCTGGCGATCTCGTGGCATCGAAAGGATACCGAGATCGTGCCAGGATACAAGCTTGGTTACAGAACGTAACCGAATTCGCGCGAAGTTACAATCAAAGTGTAAGTGAAAGAATGGAAGCACAAAATAGCTGTCATTAGCACAGTCAAACAAAAGCACGTTAAAACAAACACTGGTACAGTTGGTTATAATAATAATTGTTTTTATTAAACCAGTCGTGTTCTCGTGATAAATGTGAGTCACTACACACATTTGATATTACTTTTCTTGTATCTTCCCATTGATGTTTAAGACTGCAATTGATCAGTCTGTTATTGGCATATGTGCATACTGTGCGTATGCCTTGGTATTGCCTTAATTCACAAGCTATTTGTAAGCAATGATGGATAGTGGCTAGCAGTGGAATTCAGGACGAGCTTTTCGTCCTGTTTAGGACTCGCCAGCTGGATGTACCTGCATCTCAGAGTTGATGTTCACTCTGGGACTCGAACTCATGCTTTCCGATGGTTTAATTCACCTAACAACCACCATGTGAAAAGTAAGGTTACACTGGTTCTAGCTTGTTATTGCTATTATAAATTTGTTTTCTAGCACAAATCTTATTCATTTTTAAAGTCAACTACTCAAAAAAATAAGTGTAACTCACAAGATAACAAAGCAAGAAATTTATTAAAATCAATAGATTCAACACTGTCTAATTATTATCATTATCATCTTCGCGATCAATAATCCTGTTGTCTTGTAATATAATCCTTTTATTTACATAAAATGTTTGCTTGGTATTACAAATTGAATGTAATTAGGTTAAATACATGCGTGTACACAAAAAGAACCCCGGTTAAAGTAAGATCATTTTATCATTAGAAATATTTTATTATATCAGATAGATTATTAACTTTAAAGAAAATAATTCTTGAAAATCAACGTTGTCTTTGTTGTTGTTCTTATTGGTAAGTTCGTTGCAAAATATTTTAAATACATGAACCTGATATCCATATTATATCATCATAAATGTAGAAATTTTTACTTGAAATAATGAACTTGCTTACTTACGACTGTTACTCCCAATGGAGAATAGGCCACCGACCAGCATTCTCCAACCCACTCTGTCCTGGGCCTTCATTTCTAGATCTATACAATTTTTGTTCATTCTTCTCATGCATGTCTCTATTTCTCGGAGAAGAATGAACAACAATTTGATAGAACTAGAAAGGAAGGCCCAGGACAGAGTGGGTTGGGAAATGCTGATCGGCGGCCTATTCTCCATTAGGAGTAACAGACGTAAGTAAGTAAGTAAGTTCATCATATTAACTCGCTAAAAAACGCTAACCTGAAAAAAATTATTCAAAATGAACTTATAATTTGATATTTAAGTTTGTTATATTATATCTAATTACTATCGCATAAAGTTAATTGTATGAATGATCTGGTCTTAGATATAAATTGGTTTTACAAAAAATTAAAGTAGAAAATCACCAGTTTTCTGTTGGTTTTTCTTTTCGTGTTTAAACTATAAATAATGAACGAGTTTAAAACAACCGCGACAAATTTCCGGCCAGTTTTCAGTTAATCAGAACTGATAGGTCCTGGGTTCGGATCTCGTGGGGGACGGGATCGTGTGTACGCACTACTGAGTAGTTCCATGCTAAAACGAAACGGTCGTCCAGTTATTCCAGGTTTCCCATGATGGTCAAGTTTCAATTGAATTATGATTTCAACTACTGAAATCAGAAAAAAATGTTTTTGTGAATAGTTTATGGATAAGAAAACAATCACCTTACAAAATGCATACAGATTTTACTTAATAGATCTATTGAAGGGTTCAATAGGTTACTTCAACTGTAGAATGGAAAAAAATAATAACAAATGAACCTCTTCAAACTTAAGTACATGTTTAGGAGTACCTGTATTATTCTTGATTGAAGTTAAAATCAAAGAATAACAGTTTAAGTTTTCATCACAAAATGACTACAACTATAACAAACAAAAATACTCTGTATCCATATAGACCACTTAATTTTGTACAAAACTTCAAGAGGTAATAGTTGCTTAGTTTGTTCATGAAATGTAATAGATTATATCTTATATCAGGATAAACGTTTCAGGGATAGGATTGTCTAGTTTCGCTTATCATACATAATCTACAGAGAAACATTCAAGTAACTGGTTCATTTAACACTATCAAAGAAATAGATTTTTGTTTTTTTTCAGTCTACTGAATATTAAACAGAGATATTTCTACTGCTCATATGACATGATGTTTGAATGCTGAGCAAAAACTGAAAGCTTTCTTTTTTTGACACTGTTTGTTGCGTACTTAGGTTATACTTTTACCCATTCTGTACTGAAATTGAATGTGTCAGTACATCTTGGCATTGTTTTCCAGTATATATTTTGAAAGTAGATCTTTTAGTATAGTCTGGTGCATCTTTATTTTACCAGGGTAATTACGTAACAACCATTAAACTTCTTCATTGAGAAAAAAATCCATATTTTGTATGGCAGACAAACAGGCAAATTTGTAGGTTGTTAGCATGGTGATGAATCTACTTATTACTTGATTCCTTAGACAAACATTTTAGCAATAAGTAGTACCCTAAGTACAAGATTTATATATCATTACATAAATTATTTACTCAAATCATTATGATGAGCTGAAATAATTTGAAGAAACATTGTAAACATTGGAACATTGGATAAATGTTTCCACATAATTTGTGATTTCTCAGTAAAGCCAGTGACTGCAATCAATAGAGTTTATTTCACTTTAGAAGTGAGATGATTGCTACCCTTAGTAGTGATGGGAATATACTACTTTGCAAAAGGTTGGAAATGTAGAGTAAGAAATCCACTGCAAGTAGTAATTTCCGTCTTTACTTCATGGAACGTTTTGTTCTGAAACGTAGTGTGACGTTAATAATACACAGGATATGGCAAAATGGCTTTCAACTAAGCAACTCCAAATCTAATACAAATCTGTTTCTAGGCAAATTACTTGATATTCACTAAGATTATGTTATCAGGCGGCTAGTAGTTTGAATTGGTTTTAAATTATTTCCGCTTAGTCAAATAACATGATAAAACAGTTTGAGTAACTTGAGATTGTCAATAAGATGTATTTGACATAGTGATTTTAATTACTGATACACATGATCGTTTGATATTTAGAACCTTACAAAACACTGGTGTTGGAAACGTTATGATGAGCTGATTGTCCGAGACATCTAGTGAAAAATTATCTCTGTATCAGAAAATGGAATCAAGGACAATTTGATTTTGAACTAGCTTTATGTATTAGAAGTGAAATAGAGAGTACTACTTTGAATTAATTTCTACATGATATAATTTGTCATCATATCACATTGCAAATTAGATCATAGATCTCATAAACAACGTGTACCCAATTCACTTAATATTGTTTGCTTGTATTTTCCGATTGTTTTTTAGGACTAAAATTGTTCAGTCTCTTGTTGGCATATGTGCATCATGTGCAGATTGCCTCGATATTGCCTTATGTCACAAGTATTATAAGCTAAGATGGATAGTGGCTAGTATTGGAATCCAGTTTGACGAGCGTTTTGTCCTATTTGGGATTCTTCAACTCTGAAATACAGGTACATCCAATTGACGAGTCCCATATAGGACGAGACGTGCGTTCTGGATTCCACTTCTAGCAACCATCTATCTTTCTATTTGTTTACGAAAATATTTGAATTCAAAGATTATTATCCGATTCTCTTGTTAGTATTTCCTCAAGATGGGCTAAAATATTAGTCTCATTCTTCTGAAGATAGACATACGACTTTTATACTAGAATAATTTACTTCGTTTTTTTCCCTTTGTTTGGTGTTCATTTCAGACTTTGTTTACGATAGTGTTCATAAACGTTTTAAGCTCAATATTTAGAGACAGTTTAAAGTAAATTTAGATATGTTCACTCTGCTGAAATCTAGGTATCTGTTAGAAGCTATTGAAAGGAAATGCTAAATATCAGTTTCATATTAGATTGGGGTGAGTGAGAATGATAACTTCGTATTGAAGGATAAACACAATGTTAATATCATATAACATCCTTATAAGAGGGGATTTTCCCACTCTCAAAGATACACACACAAAATATAAACAAAAAAATCTTACTTCGAGGACTAGATATGCAATGTGCTGTGGTGTGTGATACTGGTGTCGATAGATATAAGTAGTATGTATCATCAATCAGAAGTGAAATGTCTGGTGGCAGAAGATTAAGAAGATCAAAGAAAAGAGAACGAGAACAAAGAATGTTTGGTATGGAAACGAAAGAACAATCAAGTCCAAGACGACTGATTGACATTTTGCAAATGAATTATTTACTGGATGGTTATTTTATTTAGAAATTCTTTAATTTCGTATTCAAATATATTTGGTTGTTCCCACTGATGTTCTCATTCACTAAAGTACCACTTCTTTTCTATGCTAGATCAATTCATACACAAATAAGCTATGAAATTGTGATTTGTTTGATGTTCGACCAATCATTACAACGCAATTAAATTTTCTAGTTGAGATCATGAACCGGTTGATTTTAGACCACCGTTGAAAACCCGGAAGCACTGGACAGCCGTTTCGCGCGAGACTGAAGGCCCTGGGTTCGAATCCCGCGAGCGGGATCGTGGATGCGCACTGCTGAGGAGTCACGCAATAGGGCGAAACGGCCATCCAGTGCTTCCAGGTTTTCGATGGTGGTCTAACATCAATCGGTCCATGATCTTAATCAAAAACTTAATCTCCACAACCCGTAAACTGGCAATTAAATTTCCTAAATTTGGAAAGCTGAACGCTAAATGTTGACATTGGAATCAAGTGATTTTCATGGGGTTTATGTTCTAATATTGTAATATATAATACTTATATTTCATTATTACATTTGAGAAACTTTTTAAAATGTGTTTTATATTATTATTTTCAGAATTATCTATCATCATGTTCGTTGCAAAAAGTCATACATTATTATTCACTGTAAACTTTATAACATCGGTGAGAATCAATTGTTGTCATTGTTTTTTCAAAAACATTTTTGAAGTGATCTTTCTAAAACATTTAAAGCAAAATTACATTCCTACTTGCACTTGTTGCTCCTCGTGAAGGAGCATAGGCCGCTAACCAGCTTTCTCAATCCAACCCTGTCTTGGGCAATCCTTTCCAGCTCCTTCCAGTTGTTATTCATCCTTCTCATATCTGCTTCTATTTCCCGACCTAATGTTTCCTTTGGCCTTCCTCTTTTCCGTTTCCCATCAGGAATACAACTTAGGGCTTGCCTCATGAGGTAGTCTGATGATTTGCGTAATATAAATCCTATCCATTTCCATCATCTTTTCCTAATTTCCTCTTCAGCTCGAAGCTGGTTTTTTCTCTCCTACATTAGGCTGTTACTGATGGTATCCGGCCAATGGATGTTGAGTATCTTGCGTAGACAACTATTTATAAATACTTGTACCTTCTTGATGATTGTTGTAGTAGTTCTCAAAGTTTTAGCTCCGTACAGTAGAACTGCTTTGACGTTCGTATTGAAGATTCTCACTTTGATATTGGTTGAGAGTTGTTTTGAGTTCCATATGTTCTTCAACTGTAGGAATGCGGTCCTTGGTTTTCCAATCCTTGCCTTTACGTTTGCATCTGATCCTCCTTGCTCATCGATGATTGAACAATAAAAACCATCAAAATACAAATTTACAATTAAATGAACGATTTCAGATTCAATAGTTGAGATCATGTGTTAATTGAAGCTAGACCATCATGGAAAACCTGGAAGCACTGAACGACCGTTTCGTCCTAGTATGGGACTCTTCAGTAGTGCTCATCCACGATCCCGCCCCCGCGGGATTCGAAATTAGGACCTATCTGTCTCACGAGCGAACGCTTAAATTCCAGACCACTGAGCCGGCATACAACGATGTTGATGTCCAACTTCAAGCAATTCATTTTTGGAAATAAAAATTTATATTTATATGCAAACATGCGATATGTTTGTAGGTATCATTACCAATGTTTGATTTGATAATTTCGAATAAATTGAGCATTGGGTTGATTGTTATAAATAAATAATATATTTGTAATATCCCAATGAGTGGAAAATCTAATTTTCCACTCATTGGGATATTACAAATATATTATTTATTTATGCGATATGTTTGTTAAATTCATTTCATGTCATAAGGTTATAAAGTAATACGGTCAAGTAGCTCATGATTTCAATCAAAAACGTAACAATCTTCACAACCCTATACTGATAACTACCATCTGCTTACTAGTGACTAGCTTTGTCGGTGAATTCTCGGAATTCTAGTGAGAAAGCGTGACCAGTGGAGCTAAACTGTGTCAGGTAGAGATAGGTATCTACCTCAGACAATGGAAGATGGTTGCGCAACTATATGAATTAGTTGAAGTTAGACATTAACACCACTGGAAGCCGGCTCAGTGGTTTAGTGGTTAAGCGTTCGCGCACGATACTGAGGGTCCTAAGTTCGACTACCGCCTGCGGGATCCTGAATGAGAACTATTAAGGAGTCCCATACTAGGACTGTTATGACCTTGAATCGCTTTACCCCGTGATACTTGTTATGACTTCACCTTGGTCTGTCTAGTCTAAATTATGACCTTGACGCGTTAGGCTGAGCGGCTTAACCTTGAGTCTAATACGCGTGAGTTCGAGATGGCGTAGAGAGAACTATTCTATCACCTGATTGGTTGGCAAGCACGCAAGTGAAAGAAGACAAGACAGTTGGAACACTGAACTCTGGATTCTCTGAATTCGGATTAGTACAAAAATGTACATGAATAAATAAGTGAATATCTTGATCACGACGTACGATAATTTGGAAAAATGCAGTTATGCCCGAAACAGGGAATTAGGGTAGAAAATACAGTGCAAAATATTATGTTTAAATTACAATATTTTCGGAACAAAAAAGGGTATGCTAGTGAATGATACATAGAACGAAAGCTCGTGTTATGTAGGATAAGATAGGGACAAAAATAAATATAAGTATTTTACAGGGTTTGAATGAAATGCAATAACGTCCCAAGAAAATAGCTTTCGTAATTGTCTGGGCTTCTTAATTCCCCGTTCACAACAAGGACGAAACGATCATATAGTACTTTCAGGTTTTCAGTGGTGATTTATCATCGATTGATTCATGATCTTAATGTAGAATGAAATAAATTGAAGATTAGGTGTACTGATCGATAAGATGTAGAAAATAGCCTACATAGTAAATCATAAAATCCTATAACTTTTATAATGCGTTTAGAATTTGAGTGAGTATGAAGATGAACATTTTGTAGGAAAATGTTTGTTTCCATGCTCGTTTGTCTAATAGTGTCTCTGAAATGTATATAAATTGATTTGACTGTAGTTTTCAAGTTATTTCAGTGATATATCTTGACAGATAAATGATGTGGGTTGTTTGTTTGAACGTTTACACTATCTACACCAAGTAAAATTACATTGTTCGACAAGTAATTTTCTTGATTCTTGTTTAAAGATTAACTATTAGATGTAGTAAGAAAAGATATACTGATCGTATTAAGATGAGTACTAGTGGGTTAACTAAAGTTTACATTGTTAAATAATGTTTTGTGTTGATAGTTCATTTAAGCTTTCATTTCCAAATGAAATTAGTCAGTTTTATTATAAATATTACCCTAAAACTCTTCCACCTCTTATTGATCCAACTCTTATTTCATTCAAAGAAACCCTATTTTCTTTATAAATCGTTCCCGTAAACAAAGTAAGTTCATTCGATACATCAGTTATGTAACAAAACTTGAAACCCCTCAAAATGATGAAAAAAATCGTATGCAAACGAAATTTTCTTGTCGTTGATGTTAATTTCTCAAGTCGCAGGTAATTTTTTACATATAGTAGTCCGTAGTAAAATAAAAGGAATTTCACTAAATTATCAAAGATAGTCAGACTCAGTCAAGCATCTAATATGTATTCAAGTACATATTACATGTTAATTCATATTCATTGGTTAATTGAATCTTTTCATGGCTATTTGAAGCTGAGAATGATCAGTTTCATTGAGCATTTGTGCGTGCTGTTCAGATTGTCCTGATTTTCCCATCAATTAGCAAACATTTTAGGCAGTCATAGATGATGGCTAGCAGTAGAGATCAGAACATGCATTTCCTCGTATTTCGTACTTGTCAGCTTAATGTATCTGCATCCCAAAGTTGATATTTACCCTGTAACTCGAACCCGGTATTATAAATTCGATTCGTGAACAAACTTCATTATATTTTGCAAAACTGTAGTACTTCACTATGTTAATATAGACCAAAAGTCATAAAAATCTATCTGTACAGCTTAAGAAATTGCTAGGATCGAACAGAAAACTTTCTTCACTGCAACATCTTCATCCTCTTTAACGAAACAATATGTTTCTTTCATTGTACACAACGAAATTGCCAGGTCTTTCAATGAATATTTCGTGAAACTTACTTACTTACTTACTTACACCTGTTATCCCTCATGGAGGAACATAGGCTACCCATCAGGATTATTCATCGAACTATGTTCTAGGCAATCCTTTCTTGTTGCTATTCATTCTTTTGATGTCTGCTTCAATTCCCGACGCGATATATTCTTCGCTACTCCTCTTTTACTTTTGGCTTCAAGATTCCGCGTTAAGACTTGCCTCGTGGCGCGAAATTCACTCATCCACTTGGCTAAATAGAGTTTTGGCATTATAGCTAATGTTAGTTCGTGATGTAAACTCTAAATCTAATTCCTAACTTTAACCATCATCTGTAAATCATAATTTTAATTCCTCACACAGGTTTATAAACCTCATTTGGTCTTAGTTATAAGGTGGACACCCTCAAGGTCACTTTAACGTCGCTCAATAGTCGTCCATAAATTATAGTCTCACCACTTAATAATATAACCGATCACTATGAACTATGTGAATCTTCAGAAGACATTACCTAGGAAGTGATAATTAAAATCTTTTGATAAACAAATCCAAACTTTATAACAGTGTAACAATTCGATAACTTTGTACTGAAGGAATGAGTTCACCATAGACAAGTGACATTGTATCAAGGACAAGTTAATGATCATTTAATTTGATCATAAAAATTATATTTCAGGCAAATTATTTCAACACATCACTGATTAGTTTATTTTATGTTTTGCACTACAAGATTATTTGCATATTAATAATATCTGGATCTGGATTGTTTATGTTGTCAGAAGAAGCCAATTTTATGATATTACGTAGAACAATAAAATTATTTGTAAAACATGTTGTTCCACCAAGTTCAAATTATGGTAGTGGTGTTGGAAAGTTGATTATGACAATTACACGTAAGCTGATTTGTAATGAATAAAATTTCTTTACAAACTATATTGATTTTAAGCTGACGAGACTATAATTGATGGACGAAACTATTAGATATAGAATAATAGGTCATGGATTTTGGCTTGGAATTCATCCATCCATTTCTTCAAATAGCGTTTTGGTATTTTAACTGATGTTAGTTCGTGATGAAAACCATAAATCAGAAATCCTAACTCTTACCACCAACTGTAAATAATAATTCTTATTCTTCACACTGCTTTACAACACTGATTTAGCCCTAACAAGTAGGTGGACATTCTCAAGGTCACTTCGGCGTCGCTCAAAGGTTGCCCACAAATTATAGTCTTAACTTTGAACTTCATTAAGACTTGAGATCAGAAGAATATCCTTTCATATTTGTTACTTTTGGTGCAGTAAATAACAATATATATATGTATAGAATCATATGGTAATGTTTTATTCGACTAATGAAGATGGTTAATTAGTGTACGGATATTGTATAGTCACCTTCCTGTTATTGTTGAGACTAGTCGATCTGGCAGCTAGATAATAGGGAACTATTTATTTTAGAGTCCGCTCATAGCCCAGTGACCTTCTCTATATCAAAAACCTATTGGCAGTATACAAAGTTCGAAGAAAATAAATAACTAATGGAACACAAAGATTTTATAACCTAATGCTCAATCATAATATGAAATAAACAATCAGATATCTTCTCTACTGTCTTATTTTCATATCAACTTAAAAGGTTATATGATAATATTAATCAAATACTTGATCATGCAATACGACAAAAAAGAAATCATAATCTGTACATGTATAAGCCATATGTTATATGAAGTCAAAAGAATGGGGAAACAATTAATTGAAGTTGATTGTGAAGCTGTGAAACATGATAAAGGTTTCTAAGTCAAACGAGAGTCTACAATCAGTGGTTTGTGAAAATATCATAACTCAAGTACTTATCCATAGTACAATGAAAATATAAGTGACGATTTCGTATAGCATAATTCTGAATATTTAACCTTTCTTGAACTCTTTCAAATGCAACAACTACCAAATACTAATTATGATTAGTGAACAATACGTATCCTACTGCCCAATAGCGTGTTCAAATCAGCCATTTTCCTATAATTCAATGAATTACTGTTAAAATAAGAAATTTAAGATTTTGATTATGAACTACTTGTGGAGTATTTTAATGATTTATGGATCAACTTCAAAAAAATCTAGTCAGAAAACAGATTATACTGGATAGTGGCTATGGGGAATCAATGGACATGGTGCTATTTGACACTTGTCAGCGAGAGACAACATGTAAATCTTAAAGGAACTTATGTGATATGTTGGATATAAACTTTTGTCATTTATGGTATCACTATACGGTTTTGACCATACATTTGTAGTGTCGGTTATGTTAAGCCCATATAACTTATTCTAGCTTCTTGACAGGCCAGTCTATTCATTTTTCCTGAGTCACGTTTTGATCTTGTTAATTTATGCACTTATTAACCCTGACTGTTTTTATATGACCTTATGTGTATGTACATCTATCATACTCATCACATATCTGTAATTTGTGTGACTATAAGTATAGATTAACGCTTAAATAAATGGGATTGGCTAACACACCATCTTCACTACGCACCGTTTCATTTCACTTCCACTTCGTCGCTTCATTCGTTACGTCTCTCTGATTATCTATTGAGATGAACGATTGTACAAAATATATGTATCCAAAAATCTATTCACGTATTTGAACTTATTTAATTCCGTTATTCATCAACACGATTTAAGTCGATAATTATATACGAGGACTGATGATATATATATATATATATGTATATATATTTCGACAGCAACACATTCATACGATCTAACTGGAATTAGATCTCGGGTCACACACCATATTCTTCGTCATTTATGAAATACTTATACCACAAAGCATAGAGATATACCTTATAATTAAAGATAGAAGATTCCATTTTGATGATAGCGTAGTGAACAAAAGCACCAGTGGGGACAATCGAACGTATTAAACACTAAATTACAGGACTTGTTATTAAAATCTAACAGTCATAAAGTAAATGCTTAATTTGCAAAATGTCCATCGATTGTCTCATTATGACTCAGACTTCATTGTTCTTGCATTTTCGTACAAATTGCATTCTGCTCCCATTCTTTACTGTTCGATCCTCTTGTCTCTCTGCTGCCAGACTTTCTGTTCACGACTAACGTCATATACTACTTATGTCAATATAAGTAGCGCACATCACAATAGTAGTATCGAAAAGTATTCCTAAATTTCATAAGCTTTATTAAATTTATTCTCAATTCTTATTCATTATAAACTAATTTTAAATAAAACTAATATTCAAAGATTAGATTACAAAGCAAGAAACAATCATCACCACATTTAATACGTTTTTTAACATAGAGACATGTTCTTTGTTTGCCATTGTTTATTTACTATGGTTTTATTCTCTTTTTTTTCTTTTTAGAAAATTTATGTATTGCATTATTTACATTCAGTTTAGGTAATTTATTAATTTGTATTATTGGATTCATTGCTGTATGGAACCAAAAATCTTCTTTGTTAAGAATGGTAAGTGTTATAATTATATTGACTGACAATTTACTTCTAAATATAAAATAGAACAATGATTAGAATTAAATTTATTTGGTATTGTTTACTTGGATCTACTCATTGATGTTTAAGTCTCCAATTGATCAGTCTCTTATTAACATATGTGCATCATGTGAGTATTGTCTTAATATTGCCTTAATCCACAAGTATTATGAGCAAATATGGATGATGGTTAACAGTGGAATCCAGGATATGCGTTTTTTCCTATTTGAAGCTCTTCAGCTGGACGTGCCTGCATTCCAGAGTTGATGTTCATTCCAGGACTCAAACCCAGTACCGCCATTACGGTATCCACTTAGTCTCAGGGTAAACATCAGCTCTGAAATGCAAGTACATCCACTTTACTAGTCTTAAATAAGACGTAAAACGAGTCCTGGATTCCGCTGTTAACCATCATCCATCTTTGCCTATAAAGCTTGTGACTTAAAGCAATATCGAGGCCATACACTGAGAATATATATATCCAAATAAAGCAAGAACAAATACTGATGCAGCATCAATATTTGTTCTTGCTTTATTTGGATATATATATGCTAACCAGAGACTGATGACTTGTAGTCGTGAATAACAATGTGAAGATACAAGCAAACAATACCAAGTGAATTCATACTTCATCTCATTGCACAAGCAGGTGGCTATCAGGACTCAGTAAATGATTGTAATATTTTGAGCAACTAAAATAAATGGTACCATAAAAGTAGTCGATTAGTCTAAACCAATCTGTCGTTTTCACGTAAATCCATGTCACTTGAATATTTGCAAATAGTGACTTGAAATATCAAACTCTATCTCATAATATGGAATTACTGTTTGTAGAAAATATTATAATTTACCAAATAATCATTTATCTTGTAACTATACATTTCTAGTTGTTTTAGATCAGAATGTATGATTTTCAGAGAGAAAATCAATTAGATAACACCAATAGATAAGAACAATTTATGGTCTGAAGGTCCTAGGTCCGATTGCAATATGCGGGATCGTAGATGAGTACTACTGTGGAATCCCATATTAGGACAGTGCTTTCAGGTTATCAATGATAGTCTACCATTGATCAGTTCATGATTTCAATGAAACACAACAACATCAACAACCCTATACAGATAATGTTTCTTAAAGTTTTACTAACGAAGTTAATTTTAAGGTCATTCAATGGTTATTCCACTTGTTTAAAGTTCAGCAGTCCCGTACTCAGAAGTACTCAGCAAATCAATACTTTGTGCTCTACAGAGGCGGTAGTATAGAGGTATAGAGGTTAAGTGCTCGCATGTGAGACTGATAGGTCCTATGTTCGAATCTTGCGGGGCGGGTTCGTGGATGCGCACTGCTGAGAAGTCCCACAATAGGACAAAACGGCCATCCAATGCTTCTAGGTCTTCCATTGTGGTATAGCTTCAATTGACTCATGATATCAACTATTGAAATAATTTAATTGTCAATAAATCCTAACAATGTTTTTAACTTAAATTATCCTATTTCTTCCTTGATCCATTCACCCTACTAATATACATGACAAAATTACCTCGATCTGGATTAAGGCCTTGACTCGATAAACTAGGTTCACTTGAACAAAAAACTGTTCTCTTTTCATTTAATCAAATTGTTGACCAATGTTCTGTGTCTTGTTTTGGCTTAATTATTGAACTGAGGCAAACGAAAAAAAAATTGAGGACTACTTTTTCCAAAATACACAGGATAACCGTTTGTAAAACAGAATGCAGATAATATAGCCAAATTTCAATGAACAGTAGAAGTGAAGATGAACATAGATTGTTGAAATGTATCAACTATCAAAATACATTTTCGTCCTAGTTTTCAGTCTACACATATACTACTATACAACTTAAGTAATATTATTCAACTGGAAAAAATTTTTGTGTTTCTGTAATTATTTTTCATTTCATTGTACCTATTTTAAAGTATCAAATCATGCTAGGATTCCTTCTTCTTGGACATTTAATGCTAATCGTTGGATACTATTTCAGTAAACAAACTGTAAGTTAAGAATGATATGTGTAGAAAATGTAACGTAATTTTGCAAATAAGTAAATGTATATTATATGTGAAAATTATATTTGAAATAATCTCAGAGTTTGAAGTTTAAATGATTCCAAAGTTTCGTCCAGCAATCTTTTCTGAACTTACTTACTAATATCCGTTAACCCTCTTAGAGAGAGCATTGGCTACCCAAAAGATTCACCATCGAACATTGTCCTCTATAATTCTTTCCAGTTTTTTCCAGTTGTTATTCATTCTTTTCATATCCGCTTCCAACTCCCGACGTAGTGTGTTCTTCGGCCATTCACTTTTCTGTTTCCTTTCTGGATTCCAAGTTGGGGCTTGTCTCGTGATGCAGTTTTATGATCCCCAAAATGTATGTACTATCCACTTTCAACGTCTTTTCCTAATTTCCTCTTCAGTTGGAATCTGGTTTATTTTCACCAACAGTAGGCTATTGCTCATGGTATCCACTTAACGGATGTTGAGTATCTTGTGTACACAATTGTTCACAAATACTTGTACATTTTTTATGATGGTTGTAGCAATTCTTGACGTTTCAGCTCCATACAATAGAACTGTCTTGACGTTCGTATTGAAGATTATGACTTTCGTATTGGTTGACATTTGTTTTGAGTTCCATATGTTCTTCAGCTGTAGAAAAGCGGCCCTTACTTTGCCAATCGTTGCCTTTACATCTGCATTAGATCATCCTTGTTGATTAGTGATGCCGACCAGGTACGTGAAAGATTCCACATCTCCCAGAGTTTCTCCACGAAGTGTGATTAGGTTGGTGTTCTTTATGTTGTATATGAGAATGTTGCTATTTCCATTGTGTATGTTGAAGCCTACTAATGCAGAGGTTGTTGCTACACTAGTTGTTTTGACCTGTATTTGTTTGTGAGTGTGAGATGGAAGATCTAGGTCATCTGTAAAGTCGAGATCGTCTAGTCGCACTCATACCGTTCATTGTATTTCGTGTTTTCCTTCAAATGTGGAGGTCTTCATAATTCACTTGATCACTAGACGAATTAGAAAGGGAGATAGTATGGAATCTTGCCTGACACTGGTCCTCAATTGAAATTCATCAGACAGCTGTTCTTCATGCACGACTTTTCAATGTAATCCGTCGTATGAATTCCGTATGATGTTGACGGTTTTCGATGTACTCCATAGTGTCGAAGAAGTTTCCATAATGTTCTCTTATCCACTTTCTCAAACGGCTTCTCATAACCGAGGAAGTTGATGTTTAGTGACGAGTTTCATTCGATTGATTGTTCAGCCATGATTCATAGTGTTGCAGTTTGGGCTTTGTTCGACCGATCCTTAGGGAATTTGCTCTGTCAATCACGAAGTTTGGCGTCTACTGAATCTGGTTTAGCAACACTGTGTTGAAAATTTTCCCTGGTATCGATAGTAGTATGATTTCACCGTAGTTCTCACATTTCTCAGACCTCCCTTCTTTGGTATCTTGATGGGGTATCCTTCTTTCCAGTTTGTTGGCACTTGTTCTTCCTGCCAAATCTTCCTGAATAGAACGTGGGACATTTTTGAAGTTATAATATACATCAGAAGAATTGTCCATCTGTTACTTTTAACACTCACTTTCACTCTGTGATGGTAAACAAATAATTAATCCTGACTGCTATATGTTATATGGATGCGGATGAGTGCGTTCATGGGAAGTCCAAAACTATGGGTATACAATGAACAATTACGATCTTGTCCATGTGATAAATATTACTTGGTGGATCAAGACAATTGTTCTATTGTCCACGATGATCAGACATTTTCTGAGATACAGTAAAAATGAAAGCTGTCATTTTATCGAACTATATACATCATCAGTTTACTTGAATGCTAATGATGTATTTATCAACCTATCTTTTGATAAATCAGGACGAATAACGTCATGACTAGAAAAATGGTATAGTTGATAGAATATCTATGCTGCTCAAATAAGTGTAACAATTATAATTCTTCAATTCTGTAATATCAGACTATAGATAAAGCTATACCATTTTACATAGTTATTGTTATATCCCATATTAATTATCGTTTTTTAAAAATAACATTTAGATTGAAGATCATTTGAAAGATTTTATGAGAGGTTTAATGACAGAATATGTATCACTGAGAAGTGGAACTCCGGCAAGCTTATTTACTGCCAGTATAATGGTTATGGTAAGTAGAAATAAAGTTTAATGACTGTTAAGATGAGATGAATAAGTATCAGTGACAAACTATGAAAGTTATTTTAGCGATCAACATTTGGATTTTTTTTATAATGTGTCGTGTGTCTGTAATTCATACTTATAACCATGTGGGTTTTCCAGGTTATCAATATAGGCGCATCAGCTGCCTTTTCTCGTATTCTGATTGAGGATAGAAGATTTCTACTTTGATTAATAAGCGTTAGGATATTAGTTCATTTACTCGCGACATAAATACTGTTGGCTTAAGCATAGCTGAACAAGATAATATCAGTAACATTCATATTGATGATGCCTAAAATTTGGACATTTTCTTTGTTATTTATTTATTTATTAAAACACGTAAACATTGGTAGAAGGAGGCACCAAATAGATAAGCACCACATAAATCATTCGATTTATATGAGGGCTGGGATACTGCCTGGATGCCCAAACCGAAGCAGGTGAAATGACGGGATAGCGAAGGAGGTCCTTCCGGCCAACTGGTTAGGCAGGTCACCCATTGAAACATGCGTAATTTAATGTAACGAAGTAACCACCTCGACTGCCCGACATTTTTATTAAAGCGTTATAGTGTCGATATGATACATTAATCATAAAGATATTTAGTAATTTGAATACTAATTCTTGCTAAATGAAAAAATTCATTCACACTATTGCCTGATGATTTATCTGAAAATATAACCGAGATTCAAGATCTGATGAAATAGAGTGAATATATACGAGGTATTGTGGAAAATGCTGAATTATGCTACCCAAGATCTTCAACACCGCAGACCACAGTTATGCTGCAGACTACAACCAGGCTGTTTGTACCTACCAAGATAGCTCAAAACTATAGTTAAAAAATTCATGACATAAAAAAATAAGTCCACTTAAAAATTATAAATTCATCAAATAAGCTAGGCATAAATTAATCACGAAATTAACTTTACATCATTATTAGGAAGGGTTTATATTATCACATTGTTGGTATTCGTGACTGAAGTTTATTCAGTATTTATTGGCATGCCGGTTAAACAAGTTAGTGGTTTTCTGGAGTCACTAGTTCAGCGGATTATACATTAAGAGTTTGGAGAGAGATATTAATTTAAAGCATTAACACTGGACATAGGTACTTTCAACTGATGAGTCTTAAGTACAATGAAACTTGCATCCTAGATTTCACTGCCAGGAACAATTCACTTGAAAAAATAGCTTGTTTTTGTAAATATTTAAGATTGTTTATAATAAAAATGTAGACTGAGATTAAATAGGATTACAAATATTTTTTACATTGTTTAATGTTTCAGTTAAATTGTTGTGGAGCTACATATCGTCAGTTTGATTGGAGATATGCAAAGTTTGATTCAAATGATACTTACGATAACATACTTTATAAAGGTGAGAACAAATGAAATGTATTTTATACTTCAAACCAAATGATCACTGCATAGTTACTCGATGTCAATATTGACTACTCTTTAAGTTCATCGACAGTCTTTCCATGTAGCTACCAGATTAGATAAATAGATATCTTAGTTCACTCTGTCTGATGTTAGGTATTTAAAAATAACCAGTAGGCAGTTTTGCACTTAGAATTTATTTAAGCTGACGGTAGCTAACAATATATATATATATATATATATATATATATATATATATATATATATATATATATATATATATATATATATATATATATATATATATATATATATATATATATATTATTCATTTGCGATTTTGTCAAAAGTAAAGTGCATTGAAGCTTGATGGAAACTGACCATTAAAAGAAATTATACTAGCTGCAATGTTATAGTGCTTCGAACTGTCAAACTTAAGTACCGTAAATTTAGCTTTCGGTATTTTCATTTAGATATTTTAAAATATTGTATTTTGATGTGTGATATTCTCTCATGAGGTTACTCGACATTAAATAAACGTTTGAAAAAAATGTTTAGTGAAGATTTGCAGCTCAGGTGGATGATTTTAATGGAGTTTTGTTCTCTGAGTTGGATGGTTTAGTCGTGAAGCTTTCTTCGTTCTTCTGAACAACATCATCAGCACAAACTTTAGATAAAATTCATTCAGAAGAACGATGAAAGCTCAAAGATTAAACCATCCAGCTCAGAGATCAAAACTCCATCAAAAAATATAGCTAAACATATAAGGTAAGCAATCAGATTTATGAGCATACTAGTAAACTAGTTAAGCCAAATTTAAAACTTTCATTTCAATAGAGCGATGTGGTGTGGCAACTCGAACGGATGTACGTACGTACGAAGTTCTACGTTGTTACTGACTGACTGACTGGCTGATAGAGCGATGAGAAGACAGAATCGATCTGAAAAATGCGATGCGTTTCCGCTATACATTTTGAACAATCAGCTCAGCTCTGTATTCTCATTGCTCTGACGTAATTTATGAAAGGGACTTATTGCTTTCAATTTCTTTCGTTTATCGATAAACGTATTGTCCTATTACATTCAGTTTAATTTTTACAGTAATGTACTGTTAAGAGGAAAATAACATGGAATTCTCATCGAAGATGAAAATATGATTATGATGCTTTTCTAACTTTGAACACATTGCTCACAACAAGCTCCCTTCCTTAAAAAAAAATCATACAGACTTAGTTGACATTGAAGTCCCATAACTTAGAATTTATGGTGAGTTATTAAATATGTGCCGCGGAATTTTACTTTTTCCTTAATCAAATCAAATCGATCATCATCAGCTAACTTGCATGTCAATTTATCCCATATATATACATGAGAAGATTATGTGTCGCAACATGTTCTCATTCAGTCAGTTAGAACGTAGGATCAAGTATATGTATGCATTCGCCCAAGTTGCCATACCTCATAAGCACAACAAGATGAACATCGTATTCGTAGAAGTAGTTAATTCAATGGTGGTAATATATAAACAACAACGTAATCTTTAATAGAATTACTTTTGACAAACGGTAATATGGTAAACCTGTATTTCGTCCATCAGACTGATCATTTGCAGCCCTAAATAACGATGAGAAGATGCAAATAAAACAACACGAATTGAATTTAAACTTCGCCCTATTACAAAAACAGGTGGCTATCAGGACACAGTAGCTAAGTGGATAACGCAATAGCCTTTGAAGCGAACGGTACGGGGTGAAAGTCCCGAAGTGAACGTCAACTCTGGGACTCAGGTACATCCAGCTGTGGAGTCCCAAATAGGACAAAACGCCAGTCAAACTGTATTCCACTTCTATCCACTATCCATCTTTGCTTAAAAAGTTTGTGAATTAAGGCTATATCGAGGCAATCGGCATAGTATGCACATAGCCAACATGAGACTGATCAATTGCAGTCCTAAATAACAATAGGAAGATACAAATAAAATAACACCAAGTGAATGTAAATTCCAACAATTGTTCAATGATTTTCTGCACATTTATTCTATAAATCTTTTCATTCAATTTGGCACATAACCTCAGAATTGTTAATCATTATACTTATCAGTCACTCATTGTGCTCTCTTAAATTCTAATCTTCTGAATTCTTCATGTCCCTTGTTTTATTTTCCAAAATTTATTTTACTGGATTACACCTTGAATAATATCTTCAAACCTTAATCTTTCCGATTACTGCCTATGCTTTTACTACCTCTACCACTATGAGATTTAAATCGATAATTGTATCTCTATGCTAATATGATATGGCAACTTGAACTGATGTACGTATGTATGAAGTTCTACGTTGTTTCCCATTGACTATCAGTCAATAATTGGGTCTATTTCAATGTCTGTTGTCGATTTTTGAATGATTCAAGTGAGAAACGTCTAGAAATGTTCTGCTTTGTAAGATTTTAATATTTTTTCCAACTAGATTTGAGTCCTGAATTATATACGTTAATTAAAACGAATAAAGATGTTTTGTAATACACAACAGTTAGTTACTGTTCATGAAGATGAAGATTCAAGTGATTACACCATTAATTTTGTCAGTATAACAGATCAGACAGTATTTATATTTTATATGATAATAATATTCTTATAATTTTTCATTGAACTGATACAAGATATTTCAGTAGTTGAAATCATGTGTCAATTAAAGCTAGACCACCATGCAAAACCTGGATTGGTTGAAGTTAAACAATAACACCGTTGGATGCAGGCTCAGTGGTCCAATGGCTAAGCGCTTACGCGCGAGACTGATAGATCCTGTGTTCGAATCTTGTAGAGGGCGGGATCGTGGATGCGCACAGCTGAGGAGCCTTATACTAGGATGAAGCGGCCATCCAGTGCTTCCAGGTTTTCCATGATGGTCTAACTTCTATTAACTCATCATTTCAACCATTAAAGTTTCTAAAATCTACACATAACCCCATCTGATGATAATACAAGATATGTTATTACCTAGTATTTTCTTCTTATTTTGTTTCTAAGGAATAAATCAACCTATACCATGTTGTAAAATGAATGATCAGTTAGAAATAATCGACACGACATGTCCATTTGAATATACAAAATACAATAGTAATATTGGAATTGGTTGTGATAAACCATTTGCAGAAGAAATATCATTATATTTGAATACAATAGTACTTGGAAGTATTTCAGTTTTATTAATTAATGTAAGTTTATTTAGGTTCCACTGTTATTCATTACTTCATAAGTAGTTTATGCATTTTGAGAATGATATAAAGGGATAAGAAGATGACATTATATAGGTCAATGTTTTAATATGTCAATTCATTATGAACTTTGTTCTGTATGAAGAGTGTGAACTCACGTTCAGTATGACAATTTTGTTCTGTGTATTAACTCATGTCAACTATATTTATTATGTGTGTTTTTACAGCAACTATATATATATATATATATATTCCCTTTATATGATACTATTATGTGTATCTAAAATTTGGCGAATAAATGATTGTATTAGTGGTCTAAGTATGATCTGGTTTTGGATGTGCTTTGAGATTTATTTGTCATCGTGTTTTAAAGTCATTTCAGTCTTAAGTAAGTCTTCAGTAATAAGGATAGGAGAACTATCAACCTATATTAATTCTTGCAGTTTGTAACACTGTGGAGGTTCAATCTCGTTTTGAATATATCAACAGAAGGTGCTGATATTACGTGTTCCGGTAGAGAATTCCAGTAATTCACTATTCTGTGCGAGATATGGAACTCCACTTGTAAATGATTTGATCTCGGTTATTGATTTATTTATTTTAACACATAGACATTGGTACAAGGAGGCACCAAATACATATGCGCCACACAAATCCCATTCAATATGTGTGAGGGCTATGATACTGCCCGGGTGCCCAAACCGAAGCAGGTGGTTTTCTTAGGGGGCCACTCCCCGAGCCTCCGACCTGAAGGTCTGATCCACAAGGCAGTGGAGCATCGTAAGGAGATGCAGTCCCATGGAAGCCGGTGACCAAAGATTGGTTCATACGCCATTTGTTCCTTCAAGATACTGGAGCCCATGTGCACCATTGGTTTGGTATCCGGTTAAAGCGCCGGACATTCGCTTTTCGTCCTCTCATTTTCGTAAACAACACCCCCGCCACGAGAAGGCAGTGTGTAGGACTTCCCTGGCAGAGGCTATATACGCGTGGCCGTGTGAGAGCATTTCGAGAGGGAGAGCGGACTCTCCCCACTCTCGGCCGTACCAGGGCATTTGGGGGCCTCGGTTATTGAACTTTCTTAGAATGTCCTCTCAAATGATCAGTCCTAGATGGAAGGAAAAGATAAGACATATTAAAACCAAGGTCATCGTTCAGCATACGATATGTGATTTGGTACTCATTTGTTATCGTGCTTTGAAGTCAATAAATTTTCGTTGTATCACTCTTTTGTGTTCTCGCTTTGCATCGTGAGAATTTTAATGGTTCGCGTTTCACAGTATAAATAGTGGGATAAAGTATTTTGCAATGGTTTCTGATTATAAAGTAGAGGCAGTGGTACGGCGGACTCAACAGAGTTGATACGCACATGATAAAGATGACTTCTCATATATAAAAGTTGCCTACCCAGTTACAACGGTGCCGATGAAGCCAGTTTTCCAGTTATAACAGAGACATACTTCGGCAACTTACTTTGATGATTCGCGTTTTTACAAATGAATATTAGAGTTATCAATTGCTATATTTTGAAAGATTTTATGGCGAAATTATTTCATCTGATTAAAATGCTATTAACTAGTGATGATTGGACGGTGTGACGCATTTAACCACCGAAGATAATGGAAGATGGTCACACAGTACCGTAGATTGGTTGAAGTTAGATATAAACACCGTTAGATGTCGGATTAGTAGTCTGAAACTTAAGCATTCGCAAGAGACCGAAGGTCTTGCATTTGAGTCCCATGTGAAGGATCGTAGATGCACACTGCTGATGAGTCCAATATTAGGAAAAAAACGGTCGTCTGTCACTCATATATTCTCAATGGTGGTCTAATATTGTTCAGTTCATGATCCCAATTAAAACTAAACAAACTCCAAAACCCTATACTGATAATGATGGAACAGCTGATTTATTTTGAATTCAAACTTCACAATATCATATGCCCACAACATTACCTAGGAATAGACTTAAGATGTACAGGGCCATGGAAAGTGAATTATTGTTCATCAAAATGTTGAAATTCATTCTTCTTAAATTTTACACTTAATCAATTCATAACAAAATACGACTATAAATCAGAATTGTCAATAAAGCCTGTGTTATGTCTTACAAGATTAACTTCTACAAATTACACTGTCTCTAGGAAAGATCAAAATGTACCTCAGTAATTATTAGTAGTTTGTACAATAATCTCTATAACTAATCAGTTAGACCCTTATTTCATTTATTTACACAGATAACTTTTTACAGTGGTTAAGATCATGATTCAGTTGAAGCTAAACCATCATGGAAAACCTGGAAGCAGTGGACGGATGTAGTATGGGACTCCTCAGCAGTGCGCATCTACGATTCTGCCCCCTCCAGATTCAAACCCAGGATTTATCAGTCTTGTGCGCGAGTGCCCAACCATTAAACCACTCGATGCGCACTGCTGATTAGTCCCATAGTAGGACGAAACGGCCGTCCAGTGCTTCCAGGTTTTCCATGCTGGTCTAGCTTCAACTGACTCATGATCTTAACCATTGAAATTACTATAATATCCACAAAACCCATCTGATATTAATCAGTTTTTAATCAAAAGAAAATGTTAAAGAAGTTAACTAATGTATTTTTCTAATTCATTACATAGGTAATCATGTTATGTATTGGAGTGAAAGCAATTAAAGATTTCAATCCTATTAACTTATAAAAGGTTAACATACCATTTAATACTTTTAATCCATCAATGATTACATTCTAACGAGAAGTAATAAATTCAATATCAATTAGAACAATCTATAGTAAAATGATTCAACTAATTGAATTGTTTCTTTTTTCATAATAAATTATTTGAGTTCATGTGCTTCGATTACTTTGTTTTAAACATTACACATTTAAAGTAAGTAGAGTATAGAATACTTAAAGTATGCTCAGGATAATTTAATATATTTTACAAGTTGAAATCATTATTCAATTGAAGCTAGACCACCATGGAAAGCCTGGAAGCACTGAACGGCCGTTTCGTCCTAGTATAAGGCTCCTCAGCAGTGCACATCCACGATCCCACCCCCACGAGATTCGAACCCAAGACCTATCAGCTTCGTGCGCGAGCGCCTAATCATGAGATCACTCGATGTGCACTGCTGAGTAGTCCCATACTGGGATGAAACTGCCGTTCAGTGCTTCCAGGTTTTCCATGGTGGTCTAGCTTCAATGGACTAATGATTTCAACTATTGCAAAGTCTAAGACCTCCACAAAACCCCTTCTGATATTTTAATATATCCTTGTACATTTTTTCTAGAAGATTTCGACAACCCAGCTTAATTGTAATGAAAAAAATAACATTAAAGTACACAAAAACAATTTTGATTAACACTCTGTATATTAAGTTAGTATTACCATGGTAGTTTTTGTCTAAAGAAAAATTGTTTTAGAACGTATAAAGAGCTAGCATTTCCAACAAATCAATGATATAGCTATGGGTAGACTTTTAGGACTGTTGCTGGCTGATGTGTTCATGGGATATGTTGAAAATCTAGCTGAAGTATCATTTCGAAAGATATATCTGTATAAACGGTACGTTGATGATATCATAATCATAGATGATAAAGGTGAAGATGTTAACCGCTTGTTAAAAGAACTCAATACAAGTCAAAAGTCAAAAGAAGAACAATGAACTTCATTTCCAGACATCCTGATTAGTAGAAAGATGATGGTTTCATCCAACGTTCTATATATAGAAAGCCAACATGGACAGAGCAATATCCTAATTTCGATAGTCACTGTCCAAATGTGGATTAACAAAGGGCTTATTCAATAGAATCAATCGTATTTGTACTAATGATACTATTGAAGTAGAGACGAAGCTATTCATTGAAGTTCATAAACCGCTGGAAGGGTTGCAATACGACTAGACCTATGACGCTTCTGACACCCAAAAAGCGAATTTACATTATGTTACCATTTAGAGGCGACGCAAGTAGACTCATGTTGAAACGGAGACATAAACTGATTAGCAACCAAACATTTTATGCAGCCCAGCTTGTTATTATTGAAAAGGCAAGGTCTATGTTTCACCAAAGGCCCAAACAGCTCGTAAGCGATTGTATCACATCCCATTGTGTCTACAAATTTGCACGAATATGCGGAAACACGTACATAGGGAGGAGCAGTCGTGATTTGCAATTAAGGGTGGGTAAACACATGCAAAAATGGTTATAGAAACAAATGGATTCAGATGGTCAAATAAGATCACAGGATAAAAAGACATCATCCTCTATTGCGAAACACTTAATTGAAACGGGTCATAAGGTTGATATCAAATCAGCATTTGCAGTGTTATACAAAAGCCTTTCATGACGTATATTAAGGTTTATTGAAGGCTTGGCTATACGGAAATTAAAACCCTCTGTATGCGTTCTAAAACAATTTGTCCTTACACTTAAACTACCCTGGTAACACTGATTTATTATCCCGAGTGGTTATTACATTGTTTTTGTGTACTTTTTTCTTTATCACGACTTACCGTTAACCTGTCTAGTTGACCTTGTAATTTTCATATAAAAATGTCTCAACAAGTATATGTTTGTGATCAGATTGTTCGAAATGTATTGTGCAAATATATCACGTAATTATGATAATCTTCGTCTTCTCATTGCATTATCGAAATTTATCAAAGGGACTAATTGTTTTAACTTGTAAAGATAATAGACAATATTGATCGATAGGCCAAATTACAAATGTCTATAAATGCACTAGTTAAACAACTGACCAAAAGAATATACATATCACGAAACAATACGTAATATTCATCTACAAATTCGTTGATTGCACGTGGTGTGTAGTGCATACTACTTATGCTGACAGATATAAGTAGTATGTATCAACAAACGAAAGTGTAATGTTTGGCAGCAGAAGATTAAGAAGATTGAATTGACGAAAACAGAGAGTAGTTGTAATAAAAACAGAATTGAAATAATCATGAAGCGTTTAAGGGATAACTGATGAAAGATATTCAAATAATGTATTTAATATGTAGTTCTCATTTTTTACAAAGGCACTCTGTAATCTTGCATTAATCAGTAAATTAGTTTTTCTTCACCACAGTTATCGTTCAATATACTAGCATTTAATTAGTAATATATATGAATTGACATAAGGGATTCAATTTGCACATTATAGACTCAATAGGTCGATGTTAATAATGGAGAAAAGTAGTGGTTTCGCATTGAACTGATAATCAACTATTATCTTCCATTTGTACGTATATTTCATAATAAAATACGCATTCATTGTAAATATGAGTGATATATAATAAAGAAGGAGATAATTTATGAAAAATTCACTATAGTCTGACCTATCTATTGAGTGTCTGATAATAATTGCAAATTCAAGGCACCAGATTCCATTGTTCAATAAAACATAAATGAGTATGGTGAAACTCAAAATGCCCAAGTAACTCAAAGTTAAGATATAACTCAAGAACTTTCTATTAGTTAAGACAATCAGGTATATTTGTATGCATCAAGTATTTATATTTACTAGTATAGGGGTTGTGGAGATTATTAAGTTTTTGATTGAGATCATGAACCGATTGATGTTAGACCGCCACAATTGAAAACCTGGAAGCACTGGACGGACGTTTCATCCTATTGTGGGACTCCTTAGCAGTGCGCATCCACGATCCCCGCTCGTGGGATTCGAACCCAGGGCCTTCAGTCTCACGCGCGAACGCCTAACCTACTGGACCACTGACCTGGCATCCAGTGGTGATAGTGTCTAACATCAACCAATCCACGAAATTGCGCGACCAACTTCCATTGTACTGAGGTAGATACCTGTCTCTACCCGACATGGATTAGCTCCACTGGTCACGACTTATCACTAGAACTCCGAGAATTCCCTCACGAAGCTAGTCATTCGTGAGCACATGTTGGTTACTAGTATAGGGGTTGTGGAGATTATTGTGTTTTTGATTGAGATCAGTGACCTCTGAATGCATGTTACGAAAGATGATTTTTCCTCAGAATAGGATTTAAAATAAGAAAAAGGCCCGGATATATGATTAGCGTTTCGATGAATATTCGACCAGTATGGGCAAAGTCAATGCAGATATTTATATGATCAGTATTTAAAAGAAAGTTAATTGTTTTAGTTTTGAGAATTGATGAATAAAGTGGAACAGTATTAACTCGGTAAGATAATAATCAATATTTTCATATTTGAAACAAGTAGTACATTGAGTGTTGTGTAGTAAAACTATATTCACTTGGGTTCTAATATCTTCGTATACCAAAAAATTTCAAACATATTAACCTAAAAAGCAGAAATCCTGATTAAGATGTATCTTTTATGTACGAGACAATATACAGCATTCATCAGTAAAAGCATTTTTAAATATAAGAGACTTTCCATTTAGATTATCCATAACCACATATCACTTTGTCAGTGATTAATTCATAGCCTGGTATCAATAACGAGTCTTACATTTTAAGACCATATAATGAATAAAAAAAGTTCATCAATGAAGTTTTAATTTGTTTTTTTAATGATTGTTTGAGCCTTCTTATTGATGTTTAGAGCTGTTATTGATCAGTCTCTTATTGACATATATGTATTACACTGCTAGACACCATCCAGTTTTACTTATAATTTACTTTACTTACATATTTACACCTCTTACTGCCGTTGAAGAATAGACTACCGATAAGTATTCCCCAACCCACTCTGTCCTAGGCCTTCCTTTCTAGTTCTATCCAATTGTTGCTCATTCTTCTCATATCTGTCTGCATTACTCGGCGTGATGTATTCTTTGATCTTCCCTGATTTTAAACCAATGGTGCATATGAGCTCCAGGATCCTGATGTAACAAATGATGTATGAACCTATTGTTGGTTTCCGACTACCATGGGATTGACTCTAGTAACATTGCTTTACCTACCTAGTGGATTAGACCTTTAGGTCAAAGTCTTGGGTAGTGTTCCTCTAATAAAACCAACTGCTTTAGTTTGTGCATCCAATCAGTATTTCAACCTTCACACAAATTGATCGATCACATTACCGCATATCCATTTGGTATCTCCTTGTACCAATGTTTACGTGTTTTTAATAAATAAATAATGAAATCGTAGATTTATAAATACTCATTTTTAGCTAACTATGTATAATGAAAATTCAATTTTTTTGCCAAAAATTGATGATGTTGATCAAATTGTGATTAGTGATTGGAAATATAATGACAAGTCATTCAAACACAGTGATCGCAGAATGATAAGAAGTCATTGGATCAACAATAGCCAACACTTAAGTCTACATTTAATTAGTTGTTGTTGTTTCTTTCTTTAAAAATAAACAAAATGCTACACAAATTCACTCGGTGTTCTTTTACTTGTATCTTCCCATTGTTATTTAGAACTGCAACTGATGATCAGTCTCATGTTGGCTTATGTACATTCTGTGCAGATTGTCTCAATATAGCGTTAAGTCCCGAAGTGAACATCAACTCTGAGGACAAAACGCTGGTCAAACTGGATTCCACTGAAAAACACTATCCATCTTTATAAGCAAAGATGGATAGTGGCTAGTAGTGGAATCCAGGACGCGCGTTTCGTCCTGTTTGGGGCTCGTCAGCTGCATGCACCTGCATCTCAGAGTTGTTGTCCACCGTGGGACTCGAACTCAGTACCGTTCGCTTCAAACGCCATCGCGTTATCCACTTAGCTACTGAGTCCCGATAGTCA